CCATGTGCAGAATTCGTGGCAGGCGCAGCACTTTGTGAACCTCCATGTGCAGAGTTCGTGGCAGGCACAGCACTTTGTGACCTCGATGTGCAGGTTTCGTAGCAGGCGCAGCACTTTGTCAACCTCCATGTGCAGATTGCGTGGCAGGCACAGCACTTTGTGAACCACCATGCTTCTCCAAACCTCGACGGGGAAGCTCCCCGGAACGACGGTTGCGAGACGGTCTGGGGTCATGGTCGGATCATGGTCGGATCATGCTCGGAATCGTCCCATTGTGGTTAGAGGTTTCAGTTGTTTCAGATTTCGTGGCAGGCGCAGCACTTTGTGAACCTCCATGTGCAGATTTCGTGGCAGGCGCAGCACTGTGTGAACCTCCATGTGCAGAGTTCGTGGCAGGCGCAGCACTTAGTGAACCTCGATGTGCAGATTGCGTGGCAGGCACAGCACTTTGCGAACCTCCATGTGCAGATTTCGTGGCAGGCGCAGCACTTTGTGAACCTCCATGCGCAGATTTCGTGGCAGGTGCAGCACTTTGTGAACCTCCATGTGCAGATTTCGTAGCAGGCACAGCACTGTGTGAACCTCCATGTGCAGATTTCGTGGCAGGCACAGCACTGTGTGAACCTCCATGTGAAGATTTTGTGGCAGGCACAGCACTGTGTGAACCTCGAGGTGCAGATTTCGTGGCAGGCGCAGCGCTTTGTGTACCTCCATGTGCAGATTTCGTGCAGGTGCAGCACTTTGTGAACCTCCATGTGCAGATTTCGTGCCAGGCACAGCACTTTGTGAACCTCCATGTGCAGATTTCGTGGCAGGCACAGCACTTTGTGAACCTCCATGTGCAGATTTCGTGGCAGGCACAGCATCTGTGGAGCTGGAAGCTGAGAACTGGCGACTTTGTAGTATAACTTTAGTACGCGGAGTATCTGCGGAGCTGGAAGATGAGAACTGGCGACTTTGTAGTACAACTTTAGTACGCGGAGCAATCTGTGGAGCTGGAAGCTGAGAACTGGCGACTTTGTAGTGCAACTTTAGTACGTGGAGTATCTGTGGAGCTGGAAGCTGAGAACTGGCGACTACAACTCTAGTACGCGGAGCAAGCCGTGGAGCTGGAAGCTGAGAACTGGTGACTTTGTAGTACAACTTTAGTACGCGGAGTATCTGCGGAGCTGGAAGATGAGAACTGGCGACTTTGTAGTACAACTTTAGTACGCGAAGCAATCTGTGGAGCTGGAAGCTGAGAACTGGCGACTTTGTAGTACAACTGTAGTACGCGGAGCGACTTTGTAGTACAACTGTAGTACGCGGAGCAAGCCGTGGAGCTGGAAGCTGAGAACTGGCGACTTTGTAGTACAACTTTAGTACGCGGAGCAATCTGGGGAGCTGGAAGCTGAGAACTGGCGAACTTGTAGTGCAACTTTAGTACGCGGAGTATCTGGGGAGCTGGAAGCTGAGAACTGGCGACTTTGTAGTACAACTCTAGTGCGCGGAGCAAGCCGTGGAGCTGGAAGCTGAGAACTGGCGACTTTGAAGTACAACTGTAGTACGCGGAGCAATCTTGGGAGCTGAGAACTGGCGACTTTGTAGTACAACTTTAGTACGCGGCTGAGTCATCTCTATTCTGTATTTTGCAAAAATGCATGAACAACGTTTTTTCCTGCGAGACAGTTGACGGTGGTTGCTTCGCTTTCGCTCCATTGGTCGGTTCCAACTTGTTTTGTCAAAGAACATCGCAGCTCGGCGAATCAGCCTGCCACATGCCCATTTCCTATAGGTATATTCTTTTGGAAACTTCCGCCGCCGGCTTGCCCGGGAACTACTTGTAACTACGAATAGACCATATAGACCAAAGCTGACTTTCTTCAGTGCATCTTCCTCACAAGTTTCAAGTTGAAGAACAACCGTTTTTCCGCGTCGCCCGCGCGCGGTCGACCGGACGTCGCCCGCTCCCGGACCACAGCTTCGCCACGGCATAGATGACCTCGGTCGACCGGCCCGCGGCCGCGCGGGGCCGAAACGGAACGTGGAAACGAGAAAAGAGCAAACAGAACATCGCTACGAACGGGGCTAAGGCGGCCTTAGTACTAGGAACAAGGTTCGCTACTAGAAGCAAGGGCAGAAGACAAAGAGATGGAGTTGGAAGCTGGCGAAGATCTTCAGATCCGAGATTTTGTTGCGTTCTTATCAAGAGTTGGGTACTTATACCTTCAGGTGGAACGATGGGTCCTCACAAATCTCAGAATGTTTGTGTGGGTTTGTGTGCTCGTTCGAAACCCTCTGGCGACTAAAGCAGCTATGACCTGACGACTGGCACGTGAAGAAGTCAGTCAGGCATCTTCCCTCATGACCATCTTGTAAGCCTCGTAAGTCATGTCAGGCATCTTCCCTCTTCAGTCGTCTCACGCCGCGCGCGTCGCGTAACGTTCCACACCGACCGCGTGGAACGCTGTTGGTTCGTGGTGCCGAGAGTCGGAACCACTGGTCATCAACCACCAGCAGAGCAGCATCGCGGCGATGTGTCCAAAGAAGAGGATGGGCATCGTGGTGAACCTCACAGAGGTCGAGAGTGGGCAGCGTCGCGTGGTGTTTGAAGGATCTGGATCCAGACACGGAGGTGGAACGTCCTCTGGTTTTGGGTAGAGGACCATGGTCATCCAAGGGCTATTCTCTTCTATGTGATTTCTCGTTCCGAGTGTCATGTCTACCCCAAACACTCAGCTGGGACTGCCATGTTTCAGCTGGGATGTTGTCTGACATCTAGGGAGTGTCGTCTCAGATGTTGTCTCAGTGTCATCGCTCACGGACTTGCAGGTTTTCGGGTCGTGAACAGCTGGGGCGACTGGGGAGTGAAAAACACCCGAGCTTCGGTTTCTGCCCAGAGCTTGGTGACCTTCGTTTGAGTCCAACAGTGTCCCCGAAATCACCACCGAGCACTGAAAAAAAAGACATGCTCTATTGTGGATATATCCTGGTCCTAGTCATCCCGGGCCCAGTGGATGATGATGGTTCAGTTGCAGGCCGACATCTCTAAAATAGTGATGTTCTTGTGAAACCCGACTGCTACAGGTAGCAGGACAGGCCCATGTTCTATTGTTTTCTTCCTTCATGTCATTGCTCAGATTCTCCCTCCAGCTGCGGGTCCGAAAGCGGGTCCCTGGGCTCCCAGACTGCATGGCACAATAGGCCGCCAGAGCTGCTCCCGCCACCACCACCAGCAAAGCAACCCACGAAAACCAGGCCATGGCAAGAGAAGGCCGAGAAGGCGGTTTTCGGTTGCTCCACCCACGGTTCTCGGATCTTGATGGTACCAAACATGGCACCTGGGCCAGGAAGCCTAGGGGATATGGTCTTGGTCTTTGGATTGCTGATTCATGCACTGGCACTGAGGCATGGCACCTGTTGGTCAAAGATGGAAGATCTCCTGTTTGCTCGCCAGTGACGGCGTGCGTGCGTGGCCAAACGACGAGTGACGGGTCAAACCAAAAACGGGTTCGTTCCGGGTCTCCCGTGCCGTTCGAACGATGCGCCGTTCGTTCCGGAGTTTCACGGTTGTTCGGTGCGTCAAAGAAACGGCATCGTCGTTCCCATCCGTTACGCCCCGATCCGTGGAAGCTCAGCTCTTGCTTCTCCGAAATCCATGGAACGTCTTCTTTTGAAGCTCACTCGCTGCGGGTGAACTCAAACGTTGCGTTAAACCACATGCGTGTTCCCTTCATCTCTTGCCAAGCTATTGTTTTTCCGAATGGGATCCAGCTATGGTGCCTCGTCAAACGAGTCAGAGGTCCAACGAAGTGGCACAACCAGCGGTGCACGATCGGCGCACCCCTCTGGTCTCTGATGTAGACTCTCGATGAATTCCCCCAATTGAATTGGACATCCTTGAACACATTGGGGGGGGTGAAATATGATCACGAGTCTACATTCAACAAAAGCAAGCATGCCCACTGTTCTGCAATGCCTCTGTGTCTGCTCTTGGTATTGTCCTTCCTTTGGTCCTTCTAAACAAAACCAAGAATGGACACAGCCACCACCCACAGGCAAGAACTCCCCTTCGACTGTCCGGACACAGCACCCTGTTTTCCTTTTTCGCACGCCGTTGCCCACTTTGGCCGCTAGCGCCTTTTCTTCTGCCACCGTTTGGTGGGTTTCCTTGGAGCAAAGCATCAAAGTTCATGAAGTCTCGGTCTGGCCAGACCGTGTCGATTGACTTGAAGGAAGCCTTTTTCGTTTGGGACAGCTTCTATCCAAGCTGCTTCAGCAGGGGATGTTAACGCTGAAACACAAAGCACTGTTTAACTATAGAAAAATGGATTCAAATGCTTCCAGGTGAGGGCAGAATGCTCCCGGCCTCATGAATCGTAGCCTTCGCCCTGGATGAATGAAACCAGCTCCTGGATGAGCAAAGGCAACTTGGCATCTGAGTATGCATGAGAATATCACATTGAAACTTCTCTTAGTCCTAGACCTCTCTCACAGGGACGCAGTGAGATTTTACATCTGTTTCTGGTCCTTCTTTCTTTAGACCTTCCAGGAGTCACAAAGGGGTGGCTTTTAGTCCCTAAGTGAGTGGACAATGGGCACCCCTATCCTCCAATAGGCACCCCTTTGTGACTGCTGGTTTCCAACCTTTCTTATATTTCTTTATCTTCTTTTGGCTCCTTGGCTCTTCGACACTTTCCTTCCTCAAAGTCGACACCACTTCCCCCCCAAAGTCGACACCACTTCCGTCCCGGAAACCTCCGTCTTGCACCGGAGCCGTTGCGCCGGATCCCGGAACCGGCTCGAAGGAAGCTTCTCCGGAGGAGCCGGAGCTCCGTCCTGGATGTCCACGGTGCCCGAGAAGTCCGTATCCACAATGGCACCTCGGTCGGCTCGGTCGAAGCCAGTCGGTGTCGTGTCGCACGTCTTCCGGTCGCCGGTCGCCGGGACCGTGTCCGACCGTGGCGTCCGATCGCTCCGATCGGGCGAAGAGGACGGCAATCTCTCGCCACAATCTGTGCAGTTCGATCAGGTCTGGATGGCCGGGCCCGATTGGTTGGAGACCTCATTGAACCGTATCACTGCTCCGTATCATGACCTGGAACCCATTTGACCTCTGTTTTGATGGGAAAAGACCATATTTTGGGTGGTTGGTGGTCCAAAATAGAGGTCATTCAGGTTCTAGGTATATAAAAGGATATCCTTGAATTCCATTGTCTCTCCAGTCTTCCATCTTATTCCATTTGTTCAGTCCCGCTGGGGGGTGAGGCATCAGCGACAAACCCGTGAAGTTAGACGATCCGTCTTCCAATCCCTCTTTTTTCTTACAGCGCAAAGGAGAATCTATGAGCCTAAATCGAATGACCAACGATAAAAGACTACAACATGACAATCAACAGCAGGAACAACATGGAACAACAACTCTTCACAACATGCATCATGTCTTCCAAGGAAAAGAACACACACACACACACACCATTCAACTAAGACCTTCTTAGGTTGGAGCCCATCGCTCTTACGTTGGAGGCCATCGCTAGTACGTAGGTTGGAGGCCTTTCACCGTTCGACCTTCAGTTCGGCTCCCAACCGCCGTAGACACGACTGGTCCGTCACTCCGCCGTGCCGATCGAACCCGAGGCGCAAAAGGCGTGGATCTGGTGGTCCGGGACGGCGCTGGGCGGAATCCTCGCGGCGATTGCCCAGGACCTCAGGACCTCTCCTGTCTGTCTCAGGGGTCGCTGTGTTGGAGGTGCTTTTTCTTTTGCTTTTGGAGGGCCCAACCATCCAAGGTCATCAGTGATGTACAAGAGTTTTCTCGTTGATTCCAGGTTCAATAGAAAGAACGAGGAATCCACCCTGGCCTTGTGGATTTGATGCCTTTGTTCAGGTCCCTTGGCTTGAACTTCGCCCGAAGCGACAGGCCAGAAGTGACAGGATGTGGGCATTATGTGGAATGTCCACCGTCTGGAGAGCGCGTGGGCAGAAATGCAAGAGACCCCGCCCCACAAACAACCAGCTCTTCCCAGCACTCCCGTATACGGATGCAAAAGAGGTTGCTGGCAAGCCACCCACTTTCACCAAAGCCTCCTTCCTTCCTCTCCTTCCTCTCCTTCCTCACCCCGTCCACAAGCTGGTTCAACACGCCAGCTCGGCTCACCGCCACCCCTCCAGACACGCCCGGTTCGGCCTCAGGACACGCCGGAGCGCTGCTTTGACTTCGTTGATTTCCAGCTCGCCACTCCGGTCCTCGCCGCGTCCAGGCGGGGACACTCCGGTGGCTCCACGGAGCTGCGCGGATGGTTTGGAGACCACAACGGAGACACTGGGACCACAGGGAGACACTGGGAAGTTCGTTTGGATATGAACACTGCCTGCTGTTGCCAGGCACCATTCCCCTTCTGAACCACGCTGGCCCAGCTTGCTGCCCGCGCCGTTCCTCTCCTTTCACACCGCACCGCGCCGTTCCAACGCGGAGTACGTCACGGCCACCGCAGCTCCGCTCCGTTCGCCTTGTCGAGGCGTCGAAAGAGCAGGGCGAGGTCGACGCCCTGAAAGCCCGCGTACCTCGGCCGGGTCACCAACGGCCGGGAACCAATGGTGTTTCTCAACGTCATTAGATGGGGAAAGACCCTCTTGGTGCAATACAAGAAAAGGAACTTGGAAGAGATTGGGGGCTGTGCCATGCCTTGTGGAGCAAAGCAAGGTCCCTTTTCTGGGCGAGCCGGGCGAGCGGTTGACTTCGACTTCCTCCAGGTGGCTAAGATCGCCCAAAAGCCCCCGGCGCCCGCGTCGAAATGATTTCTTTCGAAGACTCATGTGCGGTAGCTATGGCAGCTGTAGCTGCCAAAACACGCTTTGCACTGCACAGAATGATTTGCCTTCTTCAGCCATGAAGATGATTTCATGATAACTTAACAGATCTTAACAGTAAAGCATCTGGTCTTCAACGCAAAAACACGCGGATTCCTGGGACTCCGCCATCGCCATCAACCACGGAACCGTAGCTCCTTCTGCCAAGAGTCGCTGCTCTCAGGATGCAGTTTTTGATCTTCTGCACCGTCTGCAATGGCGACGGGTTGAGAACATGCTTCGGGACCCAAGGGCGCTTCTGGTTCTGGGCATGTACACTTTGCGCTTCAACAGTGAGGGGTTGCCAGGCAAACGGTCGAGGGAAGCGCTTCACCAAAAGGGATCACATTTCACTGCAGAACGTCGAACCAAGGAACCGTCCGTTGGGAGTACTTTTTTCGTCCGTTCGGGGATGCGTTGGACGCAACGCGGTCGTTTGGTCTCCAACACACTTGGAACGGACTGCAACAGGTAACACGGGAACCTCCGGCGCAAGGTCCTCTCACCATGCATGGCCTGTTGGTCGGTGTTTCGACTGGAAAACCATCGCACTGCAGCCGATCGACAGGAGGAAGGGAACTGCAACTGTTACATGCACCTCATGGTCCTTCTAAAAGGGCCTCCCTGCTTGGATGAAAGCCATAGATGGACACCAAACCAACTAAACCTTGGAAGATTCTAACAGATTCTAAGTCTAACAGATTCTAACAAATGAAGTCCTTGGACGTTCGCTTCAAGTTCTAAGGACCTGACATCTCATCCTCCCTTCATGACCATCTCACCAGACCGTCCTCACCCTTCCTGAATATCTCACCAGACCGGCTTTGTGGGGTGCTCAGCTGCCGAATCGATCGCCTTGGAATCCAAGGAGGGCGGTGTTGGCAAGCCTCGACGCTTCCGCTCCTGAACATGGGTCCCCAAAAAGAGCTCAAGCCGGTGTCTTTTTTTTCGGTGCCGGTTTTGGCCAGGGATGTCTAGAACAGAAGCTCTTCCTGAAGTCCAAACCCAAAGGGTTTCCGCTTTTGTTCACTTCTGTGGATTCCATGTGGGAGTTGAGGTCAACCAGGATTTACCACCAAACCATTCACCACCGGACCCCCGAACGCACGAAATGGTCCCAAATTCTGCAGTCCTCCGCCACGACTTGAGCCAAATGGGCCTCAAAGGATCTTCGGATTGAGCCAAGACTTTAAAAACTACGAAACCGGAAAGGACATTGTGGCTTTCTGGGTGAAAACCAGTCTCTTCATGAATTGGGGTCCCTAACAGAGTTGGTGCAGAAGACGACGTGCCTGTCTTCCACATGGGACGTTAACAATGACTCTGTCACCCACGAACCGGGCTCGCCAGCACATGAAAAGGATCAACCAACTGGACATGCGTTGCTCCCTCTGGGCATCGACTTGGGAGCAAC